TTTTGTTCCATTCTTTTTCTTTACTTTCAAAAATCATTAATTTTGTCCTTGATGTTGTCGGTTCTAGTGTTGAAGGATATAACTATATTTAATTTTGTACCGTTAAAATATTGTTGTTGAAAACATATGTACCTAATCACTAATGATCGGTTTAATAATTTGATAAGTAGTTTCAAATGATGGATTTACCGTTAGACTACTCAAACTAATAACAATGATACTGTGTAACGTTGTTGAAAATATTCCACATTTTCCTTTTATGAGTAAATATTTAAAAGTACAAACTAGTGTTACATAAGAATGTACGGTAAAACATTTTGAGTCTTGAAGATTACAGATAACAATAAACAAAGGACGCATTATCAATATATGTAACCAAATCAGTTTTGAGTTAAACTATGTCCCACTGTACTTATATAAATAGACAGAAGAAGCTCCCAACACTGTCAACGTACCAAACAAACCAATCTCTCTCTATACTTTTGTCCTTCAGAACACAAACCCTAAAAACCAAAAAGAAAGAAAATGGAAGAAGCCCTAAGAAAGTTCACCGAGCCTACCCGCTCACTCACCCCCGGTTACGATCCCGACTCAAATCCTTTAACGAGATCAAACTTCACCAACACAAAGTCCTCACCACTAAACCGCAAACCGACTTCAAAAGAGACAAGAGTCACCTCTGTCGGAATTGGCAACGCCCCGACGAGGTACCGTGGCGTTCGTAGGAGGCCGTGGGGACGTTACGCGGCGGAGATACGTGATCCAACGTCGAAGGAGAGACGGTGGCTAGGAACATTCGACACAGCGGAGGAAGCCGCGTGTGCTTACGACTGTGCCGCACGTGCTTTTCGTGGATCTAAGGCACGTACGAACTTTACTTACCCTGTTTCCGTTGCTGTTCCTGAGCATAGGTTCTCTTTTTTCCCCAAGAAATCCGTTCGTTCTCCTCTGCCGTTGGATCACTCTACTCAGGAGATCTACGGTACACCGACACCGCAGAGGATTAACACTCATACTCATTTACTGCGCGACGACTTCTCGTATTCCTCTCGCAAAACTACGCCGTTTAGCTCTTTTAACGCATCTTCTTCTCACTCGGAGCTAAAAACGGCAAGCTTTTCGTCTTTTGCTAACGATAACGACACGGAGTTTTTCCCGCAAGAATCTTCTGACTCTGGTCTCTTGCAAGATGTCGTTAAAGAGTTCTTGAAGAAAAACCGGAGCCATCCTCCGCCGCCGACGCCACCACCACCGCCATTGACACCGATGATCGGATATCTTGAGAACACTGGTGATTTGTCTGCTCTCTCGGACAGTTTCTTTCAACAGAAGACAGAGCTTGTAACGTCGACATTAGAAGGCTACGGAAACTACAATCAAGCTGGTGGCTCCGGTTATTTCGACGGCATCAGCCCCGCCGCCGACAGTGAGTTAACGTACGGATCAGAGGCGTGGGGGTATCAAGAAATGTTGATGTACGGTGGTCCGATGGGATGTACTTGCCGTAAATCTTTGGGATAAAGCTAGTGATATTATTCATCATGATATTATTATCTATTAGTTTAATAGTTAATCTGTACTTTTTTAATTTTCTGTGATGGATATTAACTAAACAGTACTTAAGTTGAAATAGCTATAGACTTTTATGATATGTGGTTTCTAGATGAAGTTTTAGCTTTTGTAAAAGTCTTTCTAATATTTTTAGTTATATGAAAACTTGGATATTCCAGTCTTTACTGTTATATATGGATTGCATTTTCGTAAATACTATCATTAACACAGTAACAATCGTATGAGCATAGCTTACTGATAAATTGTTTACGTACAATTTTTTAATAGAAAGTAAAGTCTTTTCTTCGATTTGTGAATAAAATAAAAATAAAATAAAATAAAAAATAAAGTGTTTTCAAGTTTTGGCAATGGTATCGCCTTATTTAAAAGTGAATCTGCATGCATACTGAAAATAGGCTTTTATCGTACAAAAGGCAGAGTTTGTCTCTGTCTAACTGTCTCCTCAACTTCTCGTGCTCTCTCATCTATCACCATATGAAAAGCCAATTTACTATTGTTCTGACCACTAATAAAGGATCACGAATTTATATATGTGATTTTCTTCTTTTTTTTTTTTTGTTATTTTTAAGTTACGTCTTTATGTGTGTATCACAAATCGTCACACGGAATTTGCAAATTAATTTGTTTCGTAGTTATCTTGTCAATGAAAAATTTTGTGTATAAAGTGAATGAAAAGGGTATTGGTTCATTAAACAATATAGTAGTGATGAGAGTCTATTGATAACAATACAAATGATATGCTCTTGATTATTGAGACATTAATAATATAGTTGTAGTTTAATCTAATGTCTCACGAAACCAGACAGCTTAGATATCATTGGTAGGAGCTTACTTTATAAATCTCAACGAATTAAAGTGAAGTTATACTAGAGTACTATATAGTAGTATTATTAAAGTGTGAAAATTGTCTCAAAGAAAGGAGCAGAGGCTATGGTTTAGGGTATTTATTGAAGAACACCGAAGTTAATATTCGTTAGGCGAATTTTCAAACACCAATTTTAGGTACATCTAATTCTCTCAGCAACTACACCAAGAGACGTCAAGTGAATGAAGGTACAAACGTCGTCTCTTTGGGAATTAGGTTTTAATGAAAAGCAAATATGGGCCATGAGAAATCAAAGCCCATCAAGATGATACCTAACCCAAAATCTTACAATTGCCATCTTCATCTTAGCTCGAAGACAAACAAAGAACATGTGCAAAGCAAAGGATGACAAAGATGCCTGAGGCTTGAGCTGTAGTATGGATTTATCAAATGGAAATACATAAAGATGTGATGCTCCAAATCTCTCACAATAACATACTCGCTCTGTTTTATTTTAATTATCATATTAGATTTTTACCCACAGATTAAAAAAATATTTAAATTTACATATTTTGAAAATAAAAATATAATTACCTATATATCTAATCACATTTCAACCAATACAAAAATAGAAAAGTATATAAAATTAATAAATTTTGCATCGAAACTATAAACGACATTCATTTTGAAACGAAATTTTTTCTTTACAACGACATGTAAACTGAAACGGATGGAGTAAGAGTTATCTCTCGTAGTAACCTAATACTAACAAGTGTCATTTGTGCAATTACAATGTTTATAAGTCTCATCCAATGTATTCTCACAAAGTTTAACCGATTGGAAAAAAATATGTATGTTTATTATGGTCTTCATCTCTTTTATTTAGGGTTGAGATTCTACTTGTATTTTTACCTGTGATTTGTGATCCTGAGTCTTAAATAACCAAACGATCATCATGATGTTGGTTATGAAATGTTCATCTTGTACTTACTGATGTTATCAATAAATAATAACGACGAATGATATTTGATGCCTCAGCAACGTAGATAAGGTAGCAAAATACATCCTGAAAATTAGTGACAAAGGTTTTTTAAACATTATAATACCAAAAGAAAATAAAGTTGTTGATCAAACGTACGGTATGGAATGGTGGCGTCTCACTGAACCAACAATAATAAAACGAAGATATTTTGGAAAAACAGCTTATTGTTTAGAACATAGTATTGTTGAGTCAACGGAAATGAAACGAACTTAGTTGTATTTCTATTATGAACAAGGAGAGATTTTAAATACTTTAGGTTCAAACACCCTAATTACATATATAAACAAACCACTTTGAACATCCATTAAAATATTAACCACTTCAAACACGATCAGTTTATTAATTTTTGTCTTTAAAACTGGGACGGGTTTATTTACTTGACGCATCTCCCACGCAAATATGAATGATGATAATATGGACTTTTTCGTAACACCACTCATTTATAAAGTGGGCATGAGACAATGTCAAACTCAGATTTCAATTAGTAGAAGACCTGAAAAGTTATAAGTCAATGCCTAAGAATCCAACACAATGAAACACGTTAATATATCACCTATGCAATGCAACTTTTTACTCTTATCATGCATCACTGTTTTCATTTTTATTAACTCATATTCATAGTCCTCCCACACGATACATATATACTCCAATCAATAAGTTATATAATGGAGAAATGTTTTAACCTTTTAAATTAGTCTATAATATACAATATACATACTTGAATCTGGTTTGTAACATAACAGTGGAACTAGCTCATACAAGTAGACTTGATATTCTGCTTTACAGTTTAATTTGAAAATCAGGTATTTTATAATGTCTACAAACGTATATTAACAAAAAAGTAACGTTTGCTCCACATAGGTAAAAAAAAGACTTTAAAAACAAACAAACAAAGAAGCTTATATTAATAATTGACATCTCAAAAGTGCGAAATTTCGTCTGATTAATTTAAACACTCTTCCTAATTTTTTTTTCTTTGTCCAAATTAAATTTAGAAGTCATCTCTAAATAATTACTCAATCATAAGTAAACGGCCCTTAACCATTTTTTAAGTCAATGTACCTACCGTCCACCGACCCTATCCAACACCAAGTCACGATGGTACATTGGCTTTGTTATAGAATTACAATTATTGAATCATATTCTTCCTTGTATTAAAAAACCAAATAATTTGTCAAGGATTCTTGTTACACATGAAATGATACCGTATCAATGATTTTCAAAATTATATAAACTGACCTTTTATGGATTGTCTGAATGGGCTACCGTCTATAAGTCAGCCCAGATTAAAAAGCCCAGGAGTAAAGAAACGAGATATTTTAGAGCGCCACGTGTCGAAACCAGACACATGAAGTCATTTACACGACATAGGCGTTGGGTCAGGTCGAGAGACTCGTGGTGGGACCCGAGTAAACCGTTAAGCTATTGTTAAATGACCTTATAACCCCAAAACTGAGGGTCAGTAAGTTCGAAAATGAGAAGGGGTAATTATGTAAAACCAAGAATTTTGATGATTAAAATTGTCTATTTATTCACAATTATGATTAAGGCCCCCTTGTCTTTCGTAATAACATAGTGCCACCCAATTCCAGAGAGGACACAGCTTTATTTTTCTCATCCCATTTCTCTCTTACTCATTCGAGGCATTAAAAATTCACTTCTTTTCCTTAAAATTGTTTTGTTTCTCTCCGAAAAGTTTCCTTCTTGATTCAGCCTTTTTGGAAAGTTTCTGTTTTCGTCAAGAGTGAGATTGGCATTTTGGTAAATATAGTTTGGATCTGATGTGGTGGATGATGGGAGAAGCAGGTGGACATTACTGTTCTAAGAAGACTGATGATATCTGCGGCGCTCTCTGTAGTCAGGTTTGATCTCCGACATGCTCTTACTCTGTTTTTCGAACAGAACACTTGAAAAATCTACATTGAAACAAGATCTTAACTTCCCTTTTTTGTAAAGTTCAAAACTTTCTCCCTTTTTGACGCGACCCATCACTCTTAAAACGATTCTTAATCCTCAAAGTCTATACCTTTCGATCTCTATATAGATCTAAGTTCAGATTTTGATTCCCCTGTTTTTTGATTCCCCTGTTTTTTTTGCAGGAATCTGGTAGATTCTCCAGCTTCTATAGACTCTGTTGCGCACTTCGCGGTGTAGACATGAAAACATACATCTTCCTACTAGTCATCGTCCCGACATGTGTCCTCGCCGGCTACATCCACGGCCAGAAGATCTCTTACTTCCTCCGTCCACTCTGGGAATCACCGCCTAAACCATTCCACGACATCCCTCACTACCACCACGAGAACGCTTCCATGGAAACTCTCTGCAAACTCCACGGCTGGGGAGTACGAGACTACCCTAGACGAGTCTACGACGCCGTTCTGTTCAGCAACGAGCTTGACATCCTCTCTATCCGTTGGAGAGAGTTGTATCCTTACATCACACAGTTCGTTCTCCTAGAATCGAACTCCACCTTCACAGGCCTTCCTAAGCCTCTCGTCTTTGCTGCTCACAGAGATGAGTTTGAGTTTATTGAGTCGCGTCTCACTTACGGCTCTCTCGGTGGGAGGTTTGTCAAAGGGATGAATCCTTTCTACGAGGAGGCGTATCAGCGAGTGGCCTTGGATCAGCTTCTGAGAATCGCTGGGATTACTGATGATGACTTGTTGTTAATGTCTGATGTTGATGAGATTCCGAGTAGACACACTATAAACCTCTTGAGATGGTGTGATGAGGTGCCTAAGATACTTCACTTGCGTCTCAAGAACTACCTTTACTCGTTTGAGTTCCTTGTTGATAACAAGAGCTGGAGAGCTTCTGTGCATAGGTACGAGACGGGGAAGACGCGGTATGCTCATTATCGTCAGTCTGATGAGATCTTGGCGGATGCAGGGTGGCATTGTAGCTTTTGCTTTCGACGGATTAGCGAGTTTATATTCAAGATGAAGGCTTATAGTCATAGTGATAGAGTGAGGTTTAGTCGTTTCTTGAATCCTAAGAGAGTTCAGAGAGTTATATGCAAAGGGGGTGATCTATTTGATATGTTGCCTGAAGAGTATACTTTCAAGGATATTATAGGGAAGATGGGTCCGATTCCTCATTCTTTCTCGGCTGTTCATCTTCCTTCTTATCTCCTGGAGAATGCGGATAAGTATAGATTCCTCTTGCCGGGAAATTGCATCAGAGAAAGCGAATGATAGATTGTGAATCTTCACCATACTGAGTCTCGTTTATCTGAAGATCTCTCTACATTGGAGAAGACAGGTTGGATTGAATCCTCCTCTGGACTAATAGCACTTACACAACTGATAGTTAATCTCTGCGTTCTTTGTCTGAGGCATAGTGTCAGTGGAAGCTGCAGAGTATGTCATCAGGCACTTCCGAGAAGGCTACTAAAGAGTGAAGATTTTTCTGTATATAGATAGATCTGTTTGTTTCTTCAGGATTCTGATTTTGGAAACCTTCATTTCTGTGATCTTCTGTCTTCAAACATGAGTATGTGTTCTTCTTCTGAGTTTCCCCTTTGGGAAGTTTTGCATCAATACACTCTTTGGTTGACCTTTTTGTACATCTATCTCTTCCGCTCTAGATTTCATTGACATTGTTATGTATACGAGGATGGTGTTTTGCGTTAAGATAAGAGATTTTCTTTCACATGAATAAGCTTTCCCTTATTTATGTTATTATCACAAACGAGATAATACTTTTCCAGATTCTGAAACACTTATATGATCCGTCAGGCATCACCGCATCAGCCCCACATGGTCATAACTCATGTATATCATATGATGTTTAAGACAAGGAGTTAACGAAGGTCAAGAGAAACAATCAATAATCTCTTATTGTTCTTTTGAAAAATGTGTCCTGTGTGTAAAATTACAAGTTTGAATTTGCTTAATCAATCATCATATGAACAGTAAGAAAAAAAAAACTTTTTATGGACTTTGCTACAACAGTCTTGGTTTGATTCCAGCCCTCACTTGTCTTTCTGTTTGTTTAGTTTCTCCGGCTAATGAAGCGTAGAGTTTGCAGAAGCGGCTGCAAGTTCCTTCAGATACATCTTCTCTGAACTCGCCATCCTGCTTTGGAACATCGTCCATTCCCGTTTACACCTGTCTCTCACCTTTGCAAACAAAACCATTTATATATCAAATTAGTTAACAAGAAACTACACAACTCTCTGTCATGTTTCAACTCTTGAAAACAGATACGGTTTTAGAGTTTATACCCCTTGCCACGCTGCTACACCGTCGTGTTCCTCTCCCTGAGAATATCCGAAAAATGTATTTTAAGTATATGAACAAAACAGAGAACTTCTTATGAACTTAATAAGGTATTAAATCAAGAACCTGGCTGCCTAAAGAAGGAACAGTCTGATGTATGATCCATTGAGAATCCACAACTCCTATCTTCTCATGTGCAGGCTGTTTGTGTTTATATTTTAAAACTTTTTAGTAACTAATGTCACAACCGAACACATGTTGAATGCTTTTACTGAATCAAGGTGTGCAAGCAAAATGATTCACCTCAACGCATTTACGAAGTGCAAAATCAAGACCCCAACCGTGAACAAGGTCGTTCTGAAGCATATGCCACACGCAACGCCAGGCGTCTCTTGAGAATACTGGAGCCATTATCTCTATAAACCTGTTAAAACACACACATGGATGGAGTCAAGAGTATAGAACTAAGTTGTTTTTATTGTAACATTTGAGATTTACGTACGCTGCACAAGGAGGCAAGTGAGGGTCGTTGCATCGACCAGGTTTCTCCTTGGCGTCCCTGGTGATTTAGATTTTTGCAGAAAGATAAAAATGATTATCTGAATGTTTATTTTCTCACGTTTCAAAAAAGGTTCATAAACTTTGCTTACTTGTGAACTTCTCCTTTGGTTTTTCTCTTTGTTATCTCCCATGTGATCTTTTTCTTAGACTCCACACCAGGTTGCGATATCTCTAGACCGTGTTTCTTTATAAGCCTGATGTACCTGCAAAAGAGAGAGAGAGAGTAGCACATATTCACATTTTCTGCACTAGGATACGTGCGGTCATTTAAAATCTTTGGATCGAAATGAGGAAAGACACGCACTCTTCTGCATTGAAGTGTTCAACGCCGAGATCTTCATCCCAGATGAAGATGTAGTCATACGGCGCCACAATGTCAGGATGCAGAAACCTTTTAGCATACCACCTTGTGACGAAAACCATAACCACAGAGATTAAAGCTAGTTTCAGGAAGTTTGGAATAGCTGGAGAAATGATAGTTATGTTTTTACCATTTGGTTTGCTTTGGCACGCTCACGTGTATTGCGCGCTTAGACCATTCATATTGGTCCCATTCAGTGGTTCGTCCATCGTAATGAAACAGAACAATGGTGAACAAATCTTCTGAAAACTGCCGATAATAAAAAGAAGAAAAGACTCTTTAAGCTTAAAGCAGAAAGAAAAGGTGAGTCAGCAAAGCATAAGAGTTTACCTTCTTGACACAAGCATCAACGTTTACTCTCTGATTAAAACCTACTGTGAAAGCAATGAGATACTTTGGCTTCACAGGTATATCCTAAAGAAGAACAAAAACCAGTGATCAGACAGTTCATAAGCTTTTTTATCCAAAAGATGTAAGAGGGTAAGCTACCTCCTCAGGTAATCCCCAAAGTCTGCGTATGAAATAGTCTGATTCAGGTGCAATGATACCAGGAGTCAGCATCTCTGCACCTCGGGGATTAGATGGAACCCAAATCTGCAGAGAGACTCATCAAGATTAGTTTAAACAAGATCTTGTCCCTCCTATCACTAAAAAGGATGAAAGAGAAGAAACTATGCCTTCCAGTGTGATGCATTACTCGAATTATTAGCCCCATGAAACGGAGTCCTAGAAGACCATGTGTGCAAAAGAGTTTCACTGGATGTTTCTGGTGTCTCATTTTCTACGTAAGCAATATCAACAGAAGGAAGAATGGTAGATGGGAAATTTATCTGAACATATTGTCATGTTAGAGACATGAAATAGCATTAAACATAAGGTCTTGAGAGATACAAAGAACAAAAAAAAACTAAAGATTAAGGAAAGCTCACTTTGGTAAGTGACAAAGTAGGGAAAGATATCCCCAAGAAGAAACCAATAACTACTCCTATGAATGTTGCTATAATGAGTTTCATTCCATCATTCATCTTTTTACCATTTGAACTGCAAACAGAGGAAGTAATCTACTTATATATATATATATATATTGTGATCAACTTTAAAGACGTAGATCAAGCAATGAACTCAGGAATCTTTTTTTGGTGAATCTAACCAGCGACTGGAGTTGTCTGTTCGGTTAGCCATGTTAAGGTCACCAGGAACAATATGATCCAATGGAAACCTCAGTCTCCAAGGAATTCGTTAGCTGCATTACATGAAAAATGAGATTTGAAACATTAGAATACAAAAATGTGAACTTTAGATTCAGATCTAGTTCACAAGTGAGTGGAAATAACATGTCAAAGAGTTTAGTCAACGAAAAGAAGAGTTATAAAAAGAACATGTGGGATAGTTAGCAGACATAATCACATCAAAAGAAAAAACTCTGTAACAAGAAACATCATGAGTTCAATAAAATATGAATCAGAGGCGATTGATTTGGAATAGGAATATATTCGAGAACTATCAGAACGCAAATCCAAAAGATATCAACATGGAATCAGATCCATTTGAAGAAGTGATACTAACTGAATAGAAAACGTTGTTACTTACCAGAAAGTGAGGAAAAAGCAGAAAACTTTGAGCTATTTGAGGGAAGTTAGAGACGACGAATCAGATATGGACATAAAAGGATCTCATCACTCTGTCTGTGTAGAGAACAAAGTAACAGAAGTCGAAAAGACTACGTTAAAAGCTGAATAATTAATTAATAAACGAGACGAAGGAGAACGCAACGGATAATAATTACTGTAACGAAGCAAAGATGATGGTTAGAGAAACGTAAAATCAATACCAAGGAGTGTGGAGATGAATGATCGAACTTCAGTTAGAGAAAAAAAGACAAAGCCGTCGTCTTTGAAAATTTCTGGTGAATTTTGTTTGACTGAGTTTTTTTTGTTTGTTAGAGAGTGGAGAGTGAAAAAGATAAAAAAAACAGAGGATCTACTTAAATAAGCACAAAAGAAGATAACTTTGGATTGAAAAAGAGAGAAAGGAACAGAACAGCGAAGTGTGTTTGAATTGATCGCATGTGACGCGACTTACGGGAATGTAGGTCATAAAGAGAGTTGACTTTTTGAGCTGAATTGCTTGTGAAGACATTAAAGGCTTTTGACTCATTGCAAGTTGCTGGATCTTACACGTGGTAATATTGGGCCACACTGATAAGAAGAGTCTTGGGCCTTAGAATACAGATATGGAAAATAGTTTAGGCCGTTGAATGGCTTGGCTACACGAGACATATGACTAATAACTTCATGGCTCATAAGTTCCCGATACCTTAAGGTATAAATATTTATAGTTGGATGCAACGAACAACGAGACTTCATGGCCCAATGGATAAGGTACCTGTCTACGGAACAGGAGATTCTGGGTTCAATCCCCAGTGAAGTCACTTACATTTTATGTTTTTGAGTTCTATCATGTTTTAAGGAATATATATTTATAGATGGATGCAACGAACAACAGGACTTCATGGCCCAATGGATAAGGTACCTGTTTACGGAACAGGAGATTCTGGGTTCGATCCCAAGTAAAGTCGCTTACATTTTATGTTTTTGAGTTCTATCATTTTTCAAGGAACATACATTTATAGATGGATGCAATGAACAACATGACTTCATGGCCCAATGGATAAGGTACCTGTCTACGGAACAATTCTGGGTTTGATCCCCAGTGAAGTCGTTTACTTCTTATGTTTTTGAGTTCATCTTTTAAGGAATATATATTTATAGATGGATGCAATGAACAACGGGACTTCATGGCCCAATGGATAAGGTACCTGTCTACGGAACAGGAGATTCTGGGTTCGATCCCCAGTGAAGTCGCTTACATTTTATGTTTTTGAGTTCTATCATTTTTTAAGGAATATACATTTATAGATGGATGCAATGAACAACAGGACTTCATGGCCCAATGGATAAGGAGGTACCTGTCTACGGAACATGAGATTCTTGGTTTGATCCCCAGTGAAGTCGTTTACTTCTTATGTTTTTGAGTTCATCTTTTAAGGAATATATATTTATAGATGGATGCAACGAACAACGGGACTTCATGGCCCAATGGATAAGGTACCTGTCTACGGAACATGAGATTCTGGGTTCGATCCCCAGTGAAGTCGCTTACATTTTATGTTTTTGAGTTCTATCATTTTTTAAGGAATATACATTTATAGATGGATGCAATGAACAACATGACTTCATGGCCCAATGGATAAGGAGGTACCTGTCTACGGAACAGGAGATTCTGGGTTTGATCCCCAGTGAAGTCGTTTACTTCTTATGTTTTTGAGTTCATCTTTTAAGGAATATATATTTATAGATGGATGTAACGAAGAACGGGACTTCATGGCCCAATGAATAAGGTGTCTACGGAACAAGAGATTCTGGGTTCGATCCCCAGTGAAGTTGCTTACTTTTAATGTTTTTGAGTTCCATCATTTTTTTTGTTTATTACATAGGGTTCAAGAATGGATATGATTGATACAAACACATTTTGAATGGACTCTCAGCATAAAAATAAAATGATCTTTGAGGAGAACACATCCATCTTTTTTCTCTATACATAAAATCCTACTCAAACGAAAACTCAGCAATGCCTTCACAAGATCAAAACAAAATGGTTTCTCTTCTTTTGTCTGAGTTTTTTTCATCTACTATTATTTAAAAAGGAAAAATCATCAGAGATTCGAAAAGATGTTAAACCTAGTTGATCATATCTCTTTCTGAGATCTTAGATAGCTCACTACACCTCCCATTCCGCTGCCTCGCAGTGCCTTGGAAGACCACGTTGAGACTCCACTTGAACTCGCTTTCTTGTTCCACCCATTGTTGGTTTGAGACAGTTGTGCCTTTTTCGCGCTTAGAGCGTTACTTAGTTCTTCCCAAGGGTCCACTTTCCCATTTCCTGTAACTTACACACGTCCAATGAAGTAACATTAAGTTTCCATGTCAACAAAATATAGCACTAAAGGTTGCTGGAAAACGTACCTTTTACAGGGGTTTGCACACAGTTGTCTGTGCTCAGTTTTGGATTTGTAGCTGTTTGGTCAGGTTTGGGCGGTGCTGACTTGGCGACTTCTGAGGTATCTGAGCTGCTAGTTTTGATGCAGCGGACATCGAGCAGAGAAGAAAACTCTATCTGCAGATGCAAAGTCTTTCTTATATCAGAATTGTGATGCTTAAGCAAGCAAACAACTACCAGAACCAGAACTGGGTTATCGTTTCTTTAGATCACTATGTAATAGTGTAAACCATGAGGCGTACCTCCAAGGATCCGTCTTCTTTATAAAGTGATGTATCAGGTTGCACTGAGGAACCGTCGGTCTCCTCTTCTGTCTTCTTCTCCATTGGATATTCATCAACAGGCATCAAAGTCACCTTCTTGGTTTCTGGATCATAGTAGCTTATCTTTCCAACCTTCCACAAGAAACATATTGTAAAGGGCTTAGATTCATCAAAGCAAAGAGTTGACTGATTCGCTGAAAAGGAGTGTCCAAGATCTTACTCGAAAGGGGGAAACTTCAGGATTCCAAGATGATGTTAGCTCAATGAGACGGTATGCAATAACATCTCCTTTCTGAAACATTTAACAAATCAGGGGTTTAAAAATGCTGAGAACCTATAGAGAACTGTGGGTAGGAAATACTATACGCAAACCTTTACTGAGCCAGAATAAGCCACAAGCTGTTCAAAGTCGATCTGATCCTTAGTAATTGTCTCTGCCTCAGTGAACTGTGTCTGATAAGTATCTTCATCCATATCCTGAGCATATCGTTTGGAAAATCCTGCCTTCTCTGTTCCCCATTTTTGGCCTTTCTTCTTCGTCATGTTCCCCTTCCACACAAAATTTTCCTATGATCATTACGGATTTTAGATCAGACAAAGCTTAAGGATGCAAAGATAGGGATAAGTTATATACCGCAGGAGGTGCAGTTTCAGGGGAATCTTGATCTGTTTCATCTGAAAAGTAAAGCATAGAAGGCAAGCCGTGAGGAGCCAAAAACAAATGCACGAAAGTTCTATACAGAGGATATTTATGTGATAGTTTACCGAGCGGCTCGAAGCGAATGTGGCCTGGCCTCACTTCCACAGGAACCACTTCATCACCTTTATCATCTGGCTTTTGAGTTTCGAGAGCTTCAGAGCGATTTTCCTTGGTTACTTGGTGGTTTGTAGTGAAAGCTGGTTTTTGGCTGGGTGCTACAACCATCTGCTTCTGTTTAAACTGTAAATACTGTAACAAGAAGAGAAGGTATCAATATTGCTAAATCCCATGACAGACATTGTAAGTTGTGAAGTATCTGAAGACGAACCTCTTCCTTCTCTTGTTTGGTCTTCTCTCTCAACCATTGGCGTTTAGCCTTTTTACGCCGAGCGCTTCTGCTAGGTGTCTAAAATATATACAAGGACGAGTTAGCTTCACATTTTCTTGTAGCAAAGATGAATCACCTAGTAAGCTAAATATAAAACAACAAGAGACAATGAAGTAAACTCGAACCTTTTTAGTTTCACCAGACATGTTGCACTGTTCGGTAGGCTCTTTGCTTTCTGCTTGTTTCGAGGACCTGCGATGCGATAAGAAAGTAAGGCAATGAAGAGAAAACTAGTAAAAGATAATTCAAGAGTTGCGAGCGAGTTTTGACACACAAAACATACTTCTTTGACTTGGTCATAGACTTGGCTTTAACTTCATCCTGCTCTTCATTTTCAGTTCTCTGTGCATCCGATGTTTTCCTCTTCTTGACAACATTGCTTTTGCTTACAACAGCTTCCGTCTCTCTTTCCACAGGACTTTCTTCAGTAGTAGCTATCTTACACTTCTTCCTCCTACAAAATAATCAATCGTGAATAAAACGAATACACACATAAAAGTAAGACTCGTTTCTGGTTCGAGATCCTACTTGGGGCTTGCGCTTTTGCTCGAAGCTTTACGTTTCTTTGAAATCTTCTTCTCTACAACAATCTCTTCAAACTCATCTTCCTCAGACTCACTTTCATACCCTCCAGTTTCCTTCTGGAACTCCTCATTAGCAAGAAGCATCGCACCAAAAGCCCTCTCGTCACCCTCAATCGCAGCACAAACATTCTCCTCACTCTCTTCCTCAACAATCTCTAACAAAGGTTCCTTCTTTCTCTTAACACTTCAAAACAAAAACGAAAACTTTAACAAAAACGAAATGAAACTGCTTTACAAGACCTAAAGATGAAAACTTTCGTGAAAAACTAACCACACAATATCTTTATCCTTCAACACAGAGCTTGACTCAAACGGCGGTAAAACGAAACCGTCCATCTGAAAAACCAAAGATTATAACTTTCCCTTCAAAATTCAAAATCCCAAACAGTGCATGTAACCATTAAGGTTAGGGCAAAGAAGAAGTATGCGTACAGATAGAGAGAGGCCATGAGGACAAGCTTCGAAGAGGCAAAATGTGTGAAGAAGATGAGCTGAAAACTCTGAAACAGTTCGGTGAAGTTTAGGATTCAGAACAACCCAGCTCCGCTTGAGACCTTGCTTCTTCTGGGTCTTACTCAGAACCCGTTGATCCTCAAACACCAGACGAATCCTCACCTTCTCTTGCTCCATAGTCGCTTAAAGTTTTGAGCTTTCCGTAACCTTAAACCCCTCTATGTTACAGAGAAGAAGGAGAAGAAAGCTATAGAAAGCCAAACCAAACACTCTATCTGACAGAGAGGGTTAAATTAAAGATTAATAAGGCACATAATGGGCCTTAAATCAATGGGCTCACATAGAGGGTCTAATTAAAGATTAATAGTGCACATAATGGGCCTTAATTAAAGCCCAGTTAATGTAAAGCCTCAGGCTAAATCTTGGAGCCTTCGTCTTCACTTAAGCTCAGCCGTCGTCGTCGATCTGATGTTTGTTGTCGCCGCGTTGAAACTAAAACAAGTGCAACCCTGATAACCGATCATATGCGTCGTCGTCGAACTCTGATATGCATCAGACGCTGGGCGCAGTACGCCTCGCATACCGCTCTCGCATCGCCCACCTCGTGAAATCAGGTATGATAGACAACGCGGTCCAGGTGTTCGACGAAATGCGTCGCTCAACTTACCGCGTCTTCTCCGTCGACTACAACCGTTTCATCGGTGTTCTGGTCAAAGACTCGAGATTCGACCTTGCCGAGGCGATATACAGGGATATGACACCAATGGGCTTCTCCCTCATCCCTTTCACTTACTCGAGGTTTATCTCGGGTTTATGTAAAGTTAGAAACTTTGACCTCATTGAAGCTCTTCTGAGGGATATGGAAGGGCTTGGATACGTACCGGATATTTGGGCGTTTAATATTTACTTGGATCTGTTGTGTCGTGAGAGGAAAGTTGGTTTTGCTGTTCAGACGTTTTTGTGTATGGTTAGGAGAGGTAGGGAGCCTGATGTTGTAACTTATACTATACTTATTAATGGGTTGTTTAGAGTTGGTAAGGTTAATGACGCTGTTGAGATTTGGAAGGAGATGATTCGTGGTGGGGTTAGGCCGGATAATAGAGCTTGTGCAGCGCTTGTTGTTGGGTTATGTCATGCTCGGAGAGTTGATTTGGCGTATGAGATGGTGGCTGATGAGATCAAGAGTGGAAGAGTTGGGTTTAGTACTGTGGTTTATAACGCGTTGATTAGTGGGTTTTGTAGAGCGGGTAGGATAGAGAAGGCGGAGGCGTTGAAGTCTTTTATGAGTAAGAGTGGGTGTGAGCCGGATGTTGTAACGTACAATGTGTTGTTGAATTTTTATTATGATAACAACATGTTGAGGAAAGCGGAAGGGGTGATGGCCGAGATGGTGAGGAGTGGGATACAGCCTGATGCTTATAGTTATAACCAGTTGTTGAAGCGGCATTGCAGGGTTAGCCATCCTGATAAATGCTATTCCTTCATGGCTAAAGAGATGGAGCCTAGAGGATTATGTGATGTTGTCTCCTACAGTACTCTGATTGAGACGTTCTGCAGGGCGTCGAACACTAGGAAGGCTTACAAGATCTTTGAGGAGATGAGAGAGAAGGGGGTAGTAATGAATGTGGTCACGTACACGAGTCTTATCAAGGCTTTTCTTAGGGAAGGTAACTCTAGTGTTGCGAAGAAGCTCCTCGATGAGATGACAGAGTTAGGTCTGTCACCAGATCGCATATTTTACACAACGATTCTGGAGCATTTGTGTAAATCCGGGAATCTCGACAAGGCTTATGGTGTTTTCAGTGACATGATCGAGCACGGAATCACACCCGATGTGATTTCTTATAACGCTCTGATAAGTGGCCTCTGCAAGTCTTGTAGAGTGACTGAAGCGATGAAATTGTTTGAAGACATGCAGAGTAAAGAGTGTTGTCCTGATGAATTAACTTTCAAGTTCATTATTGGAGGACTCATAAGGGAAAATAAATTATCCGCAGCCTACAAGATCTGGGATCAGATGATGGATAAAGGATTTACCCTTGATAGAGATGTGTCTGATACACTCATAAAGGCTAGCTGTTCAGTGAGTGCTGATGCTTAAGGCATAATAAGGGTGTAAGCCTTTAACATTGTCAAACTTGCCTTCTTCTGAGCAAAAATGCCATCGTAGTCAAAGTGTGGTGGCATGGAGATGCTGATACAGAACCATGTAAGCCTCTACTGATACCTCCTGCTGCTTGAGAGAAACAAATGACGTATCAGGTTTGAGCTAATTTCATTCCTTTTCTACACAAGTGAATCCGTGGATGATTTTGCATAGACCAACTCAGGATCTTAAATACTCAGGATCATCATTTATGGTCTCAGACTATGGAACAAGTTAGCCAGCTCTCTAGCGTTGGAGACGAAACAGTTTCTCTTAACTCTGTTTACACCCGTTCCTCGGAAATATTACACTGAGGACTGATCATTTTGGACTGAGGAGTTACCTTTTTTTATGTATCGGCACATCAAGCTTGTTGTTTCTTGGTTGAAGAAGCATGAAATACCTCCTTCAATGGTACGCTTGTATAACATTTTTCGTAGCATGGTTGTAAGAGATACTTCCATTGACAAGTGCTGCCTAATAGCTGCGTTGTTGGAATGTGTTTTAACAAATAATGAAATAATGTTTTGGTTCTTGATATGTTGAGAGCTTTCGATCTATTCTGCTTCGAGTAGCTGCATCTTAAAGGCTGAAAGCCAAAAAGGTTAGCTCAGAATTTTAACTCATTTGTTATTTTTTTGTTCTTCATGTTTCTCAGGACTTTGTTTTTATGCGAGTCAAATCTTTTATTTTTCTTATGTTTCTTCATATGTTTACCTACCCTGACATATTCTTTTACAAAAACTAAGTTTTTCTGGAACCTAATGATGTTACAAAATGTTCAAATTTTATTGCATCTGTGTGACACTTTTATCAGCGAATCCTAAACCCTATGCTTCAGTCATATCATTTACTATGTTTTATCATGTGTACTGATGCAGAACTATGCCTCTTGTTAGCGCACAACGAGAAGGTTCAAACATTCTTAAACACACAGAAAGGCGAGTAATCTTTACCATAACTTCTGTAAGCCTTTACCTCTTTCTCCAAGAACCTTGAACATCTTTGTACTGTAACAAAAAAAGGAAAAGTGAATCGAACCTTGTATTTACATCTCTTTCCCAAAAAATTTGATAACAAAAAAAGGGATGATGGTTACAGTTTCGTTTGCTTGATTCTTGGTTTTTATGTACAAAAAGATTACTTGCTTCCTTGTGTCTGTTTCCTTTAACACAAGAATCCTACTTGAACTCCTCATCAAGCTTTCATCATCTCTCTCATTAAAAAACACTCAAAATGTCTACTTTCTTGGTATCACCAAACTCATTGCTCATTTAATTGATGCTTCAATGTCTCACCACCACTATGAAACCAACCCTCACTTCGTTCAGTTTTCCCAGGACCAACATCTCGGTGGTCCCTCTAGCTCATGGACTTCTCCAGACCACCACCAGAACCCGCAGATACACCCAGTTGCTCCACCCGGGCCGAAAATAAAGACTCGAGGACGCCACCAGACTGACCCACCTGAACTAATCCACGAACCACCTTCCTCACGACCCTTGCCACCAAGGCCACAAGAACCATTACCACCACACCGTAATCCAAACACTGCCAGGCCATTGCTATTAAGCCCTGAAGATCAACAACGACCTCCACACCATACTGGTGGCTATGGATCCGTTCAAACTCCATGGTGGACCACTCTAACACGACCATCTCATCAACCAGGCTCGAAGAGAACCGAACCCATGAAACTGCCTGCTACAGTCTGCTGTGCAATTCTCCTGACCATCCTGATTCTCTCCGGTCTCATCCTCCTCCTTATCTACCTCAGCAACCGTCCACACTCACCATACTTCGACATCTCAGCAGCAACCTTAAACACCGCGAACCTCGACATGGGCTACTCTCTAAACGGAGACCTCGCCGTCGTGGTGAACTTCACAAACCCAAGCAAGAAAAGCGACGTGGACTTCAGCTACATCATGTTCGAGCTCTTTTTCTACAACACGCTCATAGCGACAGAGCACATCGAGCCGTTCATTGTTCCAAAGGGGATGTCGATGTTCACGAGCTTCCATCTAGTGAGCAGTCAGGTCACTATTGAAATGAGTCAGAGCCAGGAGTTGCAGCTGCAGCTTGGAAACGGTCCTGTGTTGTTGAACCTGAGAGGAACGTTTCACGCACGGTCGGACCTAGGGTCGTTTATGAGATACTCTTATTGGTTGCATACACGTTGCAGCATCTCCTTGAATAGCCCTCCTTCAGGGTACATGCGAGCAAGAAGATGTGACACAAGACGCTAGCATTCTGCGAGCGACTTGAGTATATTACTTTTTCTTTTTGCTTTATGCATTTAATAATAATATAGGCAAATATAGTTTTTTGTAGTGTTTTGTATGTTTTCATATTTTCTGCTAAATTTAGAAAAAATAAACTAAATTGCTAATTGAAAATGCATTTCTATTGTATTTTGAATAATAATATTGATCCAAAATTGTATTAAATTTCGTAATGTTTCTATGAATAAAATAGGTTAGCTGGAGTATCTTTACTTTTTTTTTTTTTGGTGCATTTTTTGTAGTGTTTTGTATGTTTCATATTTTTCTGCTAAATTTAGAAAAATAATCTAAATAGCTAATTGAAAGTGCATTTCATCTTGTATTTTGATTAATAGTATTGAGGTAATCATCACTCATGAATCATCTATTATATTAAAAGAGAAGTTATGATTCATTTCATGTGTGATTTTTTTTATTTGGACCATTAACAAAAAAAGATTTGTTAACTATATTTCATTTCTTTGTAACCAATTCAATCATAATATCTTTGATATCTTTTTATTTTAATATAAATATGTATTAATTCTTTTTTTAAAATCTGTTGAAAAGATTTTAGCAAGATCTTAACTTTAAAAACCTTATATAAATATTTTACTAATTAATAACTTGAATAAAATTTTGAATTAGTAATGAAAATAATTATACATTAATATATATATATATATATTAATATGAAAACAGATTTTATTCTTTTATCTATTTAATAATCATAAACTATCAAATTAAATGAAATTATTATAATAAAGTGAATGTTATAAAATTATATTAAATTGATAAATTAATCAATTTTATTTTCATAAATAGAAAATATTAATGTTAAAAATATATAATATATTGGCAGAACGGATTAACATTAGTAACTATAGATACATGTATAAAATTAACATATCTTAAACTTTTATAATATCGTATTATCTTTATAAACATAAAAAGTTTAATAAACGGTAATCTAACTTTGAAACTCAAATAATAATTTAGTATAAATTATATATAAAATAATATGATTTTTCATGCATATATTAATTTTAATAATTAAATATAAAGCCAATTAGATAAATATATAATNATATATATATATATATATATATATATATATATATATATATATATATATATATATATATATATATATATATATATATGAAAACAAAACCTGCGCGGTTGCGCGGGTCCAAATCTAGTTTTGTTTTTAATTAACCGGACTAAGAGCATCCCCAATAAATCATTGGCTTCATTTTTCTCTTCAAATGTTCACTTTTTTTTTTTAAATGAAGAAAAAAATGAAACAATATTCATTCCAATGGTTTGTTTTATTTCTTTCTTGTAAAAGAAATATTCCAAATATATTCCAACTCTTCTTTGTCAATAATTATTAATAACACCTTTTATTTTTCATCTTTATTACTTTTGTCCAGCTATTTTATTTTAACATAATTCAGCTTACAACAAAGATAAATAAATAAAACATTAGATTTTAATGGTCTTAGAGGTTCTGGAAATGGTTTACCAGATTAGTAAGTGTTAGTTTATGTTGTATTAATAAGTTCTACATGTGTAATTTGGTTTTATTTATTATCTATTTGAATTTTTATATTAATTATGTAATTTTACTTTTTATATTAGTATAAGTTTTAAAGATATTTAATATTTTAAATTAATATGATGAAAATAATAAATGAAATTAGAAACTAACTGAATTATATTAAAGTGTATAGTTTATTTTGACAAATATAAGAGTAAATAAAAGTTAAAGACTTATTTACAATTAAAAAAATCAACTTTAAAATATGAAGATATGTACAGGTAGATCTTCAAATTTAAAATAACACTTGTTCATGGTTTCATTTTGAACAAAAAATAAAATAGGGTTGAAGCAAAAATGTTTTCAAAATGAAGTTAAAAGTTGAAAATGGAGTAAGGTCTCTAACTAAATTACAGTGATCGGCCCAGTAACTTTTTTTTTATCAACATCGGCCCAGTAACTAACTAACAGGCCATCTATTCAGGGCCCAGTCAGGCCCATATATGCTTCTCTGAGGTTTGCCCGGAGCTCAAGAAACGATCTATTCCTTATTCTCGTCCTCTTCGTTCGTCACTCGAGAACTACTTCTTCGTCTCTCTCTCTTTTCTACAGCAAGGTACGTTCCCGATCCTTAATCGAGCTCTAGGATCTGTAATAACGATGAAGGTTTAGGGTTTATACAAACACACATGTATCTCGTGGTAGATCTGATATGAGAGAAAAGCTCTTTGATTGGCATCTTGTTTTGCTTTTACATAGCTTCTCCTGTATTCTATGTGGTATTTTAATTTCAATTGGGTTGCTTTCAATGATTCTATAGTGTTTAAAAAGATGAAGCTTGATACAAGTGGGTTCGAGACCACCATGCCTACGATTGGCTTCGGCTCTAGCAACGATATGCTTGATGGGTTCTCTACTGTGCCTTCCTTTGATCTTCCCCGCACCACTGATGTGAGCTTTCTTTTCTTTGCTTTGATGTAATTTCTATTGGATTATTATTCCTAAATGTGTAGCAATGTGGGTGATGTCTTTGTTTTGTGTGGGGGTTTCAGTTTGATGGGTTTCAGAAAGAGGCAGTACAGATGGTGAAGCCAGCGAAAGGAACGACTACACTCGCTTTTATCTTCAAAGAAGGTGTCATGGTCGCTGCTGATTCTCGTGCTAGCATGGGTGGATATATCTGTATGTTCACTTCTCTTTACAGCTCTGAACTGAACTCTCGTCCTATAAAAGAAAGATGCATCCTTTCGATATATAGTTGACTGTGGTAGAAACCAATAGGATGGAGATTAGTTGACTCTCTGTTGGTTTAGTTTTTAATGATTATGAGCTAGTAGTAGAGTAAGGAAAGCATTTGTGTGGTGATGTCACTTGATGTTTTGATATTAATTTTTTCAAATTTCAGCATCACAATCTGTGAAGAAGATTATTGAAATCAATCCGTATATGCTTGGTACAATGGCTGGAGGTGCTGCTGACTGTCAATTCTGGCACAGGAATCTTGGAATTAAGGTATTTTTGTCTTCTTTTTTTTTTTTTGTTGTTGTTGTTGCCTGAACTTATACTTGCTTAGATCTCTGTGGCTATCGTGAATCCTGTTGCATTGTTCAAAAGCACGATTCATTTGCCTTGTCGAAGGCTTTGGTTGTTATGTTGTGTAAACCAAATATTTATGTAGAAATAGACTTCAGTTACCAATGTTAAATCGAGGGACAATAATTCGTGGATGGATAGTGATCTTTTTTTATTGGAGTGGGTCTATCCAGTTTTTGTCTATATTTGGCATGCTGATATAGTTGTGTGTGTTGGTTTTCTTCATCTTGCTACCAAATTTTCATTTCTTGAAACTATGGCTAATCTCTTGAGTTTTTTTTTTGTCTATCCAAGTGCCGTCTACATGAGCTGGCAAACAAGAGGAGAGTCTCTGTTTCAGGAGCTTCAAAACTTCTCGCTAACATGCTCTATTCATACCGTGGAATGGGTCTTTCTGTGGGTACGATGATTGCTGGATGGGACGAAACTGTCAGTGAAACTATCTTCATATCTTCAGTACTCTTTTTTTTCTTCTCACCCTAATGAAAACAATAAGATTCTAATTACTCCTTGGGTATAGGGTCCTGGACTATACTATGTCGACAATGAAGGAGGAAGGCTCAAGGGTGACAGGTTTTCAGTCGGTTCTGGTTCACCATATGCTTACGGTGTACTAGACAGCGGGTAAAATCATTTCCCACAAAATATGTTCATCTCTGTTGTCCCAATCCCAAAAGCTAAAAACACCATAAAATCTAATCTTGCTTCTATCATTAGGTACAAATTCGATATGTCGGTTGAAGAAGCTTCCGAGTTAGCAAGGAGATCAATCTACCATGCCACATTCCGTGATGGAGCCAGTGGTGGTGTTGCTAGCGGTTAGTAATCTAAATGCATTTGTAGTCCCCAGATGTGTTACCAAACTTTCAAGATACTTTGAATTTTGGGCTCTTATGATAATACTACTCGTCTCTTGACATATGATCAGTGTACCACGTGGGTCCTAATGGATGGAAGAAACTGTCAGGAGATGATGTTGGGGAGCTACACTATCACTACTACCCCGTGCCACCAGCCATTGCCGAACAAGTCATGGAGGAAGCAGCCGCTGAGTAAGGAGATCCGTTTTACTTCCAAATCATTCACTCTCTTTTATGTGTGTTAGCTTTTGTAGTAAGTACTGAGTTTTATCTTAGCTTAAGCTTTGGTATTTTCACTATTAAGGTTCTCCTGTTTTTATCTGCAAATACATGTTCTATTTACTTTGTTCAAGCAGCAAATATTAAACTTTTGCACCCTGTGTTTTAAAGTAGATTATTTTGCGCAATTTGCTTACTTTAGTTGTTAAAACATGTGATTAAATTTTTAAACAAGTGTTTAGATTAGCTCCCAAACAATAAAGCTGGAGTCATTAATTACATTTTAGTTGATATAGTAGTTGGAATTGAAAACCAATTTGTTTTCTGTCCACTACTACAATATATAAAAAAAAAAACCATTACATTTTTATTTTACATCTACTCTACTCTAAAAAAAAAAAAAAAAAAAAAAAAAAAAAAAACCATTACATCTACTCTACTGAAGTCAAATCATACGTCAAGATCAGTGATATGAATTGATGAGATTAAAAACACATTTATCAAATTTGAACAAATTTAAGTTGGTAGTAGAGACAAATGTACTATGGCATCCACTACTAGTACTACCATA